CAGGTAAAATGTTCCTGTATTTATTACCACTAGAGGACAAATCGGTAATAGAAGTATACAGCAAAAATAACTTTTTAACAAAAATTTCAGGAAACTGACTAGAATAATAAAAGGAAGAAGAGAACGGCGCGGCGGATTGAAGCACCACCAGCAGCTATTTGAAAAGCTTCAGTGAATCGGTCGCTTGACTGAGCGACATTTTCCTATTCGCGTGTCAGCTGAATGGCGTCAGCGGCGTCGCCTAAAAATAATTAATGCAGGTGGCGCGAACATCGTTCTTTCGCTTAACGGAGTATAAAAGTTTGCCGCCTTCGCTTCGGAAAATGGGACATGCATTTCCCGGGCGAAAATAGAAGGAAAACAACCTCTTTTGGAAAATTGACGACGGACTCGCTGATGGCTTTCTTCTGTGTGTACGAACCGTAGGGGAAAAGAGGGGCGGAGGGGGAGACGCCTGTCGGGGAAGCGGTCGTATATATCTTTATATTTTATAGAGATCGGTGAGAAACGACGATAATAAAAATGAAAATGGGATTTTCCCTCAGGAAAATAAAGGTATACGTCCGAGTTTGTATATTAAATTTACGGTTGAATAATATTGCTCTGGTAAGGTAAATTGTTAAATACAAAATAGATTTATATAAACAAACTTAGTTAATCCCATATAACACAATATCCGCAGGATATTCATAGAATGTCGGAATGTCCCATTATAAGATCATCTTATAAAGACATCTATAGGATATCTTCCAGACATCCTGAAATCCTGTAGATGTCTGAGAATAGAATATCCTATGGATATCTCTGTCGTATATCTAATGTACATCCAGCTGAGATATCCAAACATGCTCATGATAATAAAATACCCTAACAATATCGTCTAGATATTTAGGAAAAATAAATAATGTACTACTTTCTCTATTACATAAAATGCAATAAACTTTTTATATTACATAAAATGCAAAAATTATAGGTGAAAATTTGTTGAAAAGCGCTTGTTCTTTATCCCTAAACCCATTTTCGTGTTTGATCTATTCAAACAGAAATCCTATTTTTGTGTTTAAATTGTGAGTTTCTGGAATGTGTGGTGTTAGAAATTATACCTGTATCCTGTGTTAACTTTGATGTAAACTGTTGCTGCTAGACATGAACTGCTAGACTCCATAAAGGGTAGTATAATCTGGTATAATACCATACGATCGAAAAAAACGGCGTCAGAGGTGGCTTGGAAATGATGATTGCTGTTATTTTGTATGTAAAATTATATGGGGAACGTCATCGATCGTAATTTTCAAGCCAATTGAACGCCGTTTTTTTTTCGATGGTACAGTCAGAATATCCAATGAATAACGTCAAAATGTGGCTAAATAAAACTAAATCGCGAATGTTTTTACTATAAACTAAGGATGAAGTAAGTATTGTCAAATAACAGTCCTCATATAATGTCCTAAAAATATTCTATAATGCTCCCAACATCATCCTTGTATTATCCTAGAAATATGCCAAATAATCGTAAAAGGCTTGCCTAGGGATGTCTTGAAGATGACTTTTTTTGTCCCATCTGGATATCCCATAAATATCCTCCTCTGGTTTTTGGATATCCCTAAGATATTTACTATATCCTTGGTGGATATCCTCAAGATATCTATAGGATTGTGTTGTGTTATATGGGATAGGAAGGTTGCAAAAATTGTAGCATATATTTTTTTAGCCAAATGCATAAAAAACTTAACATATACATACCACAGGAAAAAATCCACGATTAAAGTTCAAATACAAACGCTTTTCTATTGATTTGCCGTCATCATAGCGACGGCAGCGAAGTTGACGCGGCTAGAGGCTAAGCACTCTGAAAGCGCTTTTTGTCATTTTTTACAAATGTTAATAGAATGTCGTTTTTACGATAGCTTTATTAAATAAGTGTTTATACGCATAATGGAACCAGATTTTCAAAAAGCTCAGGTAGATGTGCCGATGATATGGAATTTTATATCTGATGGTAATACAACTTTTGTTGAAGTGAAAATAGTACGGTAAGATTTATATTTTAATATTTAAAATGACGCGACGTTACTATTTTTACACACGGGATTTTCACCTTTTCGATAAGTTACAAGATAACCGAGATACGAGGAAAGTCGAAAAATGCAACAATATCAAATTCGCCCTGTATTTCAGGAAGTAAGAGGGCTAGGGCAAATCTGTGTATAGAATCTTCAGTTTACTAACTGAAGATGCTTACTTACTTTCATACTACTACATTTATGTGTCTTAATGACAAAAGCGTGTTTTTACATTTTTATCTGTAAATAGTAAGTTTTTGTACTTGTGACATATATGAATTTCTGGTTAACTAATAAGCTATATAATGAAAAATTAAAAAAAAAGTAGCATAGTGATGTGAAAACTGAAAACCGCATTTTTGTAACTCTACTCAAACGAAAAACCCTGTAAAACACACGAAAATGGGACATACTGTACATAGTTGTTGTTCAAGTAATAGAGATTCAAGGTCCAAAATCCGCATTAAATTCCTATTATAGTCCAATAAAATTGTCATTTGAAAAAAAAATTACGGGCAAGCTGATTTTTTCAGAGTTTGCCAGCGACTGTCTTCTGAGTGTAAAATAAACAAAATCGGAAATTTTCCCCTTGCGGTTTTTGAGTAATAGGGGTGGTTTTTTAAAACTGTACTACAACAAAATAATTAGACGCAAACTGTATATAAAACATTGTGTATAAGTTCGCCTAATGACTTTGTTTTATAAGTTTATTATTTCCGGACTTAGCGGTAGTTTCATGAGCCCTTTGGGGTGGTTTTCAAAAAGTTTGTTTTACAGCAAATTGACCCGTATGAAAGTTGTTCATAATAAATGGACAAGCAACTTTTTCACATGATTTTGTTTGTAGATTCATTATTTTTGGAGATAGCTGGGATTTTTTATTTTTTTATTTTTTTTGAGATTTTTGGGCGCTATCTCCAAAAATAGTCAAGTTACAAAAATAGTTCATAAGGCAAAGGTATAGGTACTCTTATTATGAACGAGTTTCCTAGGGTGAATTTGCTGAAAAAGGAGTAACATTCAAAACTACCCTAATTTGTTCATGAACTGGACGCTATCTCCAAAAATAATCAAGCTACAAAAAAAATTCATGAGGAAAAGTTGCTTGTCCATTTATTATGAACAACTTTCATACGGGTCAATTTGCTGTAAAACAAACTTCGATTTTTTTATAAATTATAAAAACATAAAATAAGAATAAATAAAACAGCATAAAAGAATAAATAAAACAAACTATTTTATTAATAATAACACCGAATTTTGCTTGTCCATTTATTATAAACAACTTTCATACGGGTCAATTTGCTGTAAAACAAACTTTTTGAAAACCACCCCAAAGGGCTCATGAAACGGCCGCTAAGTCCGGAAATAATAGACTTATAAAAAAAATCATTAGGCGAACTTATAGAGATATATGTTCTTATGTACAATTTGCGTCTAATTATTTTGTTGTAGTACAGTTTTTAAAAAAACACCCCTATTGCTCAAAAACCGCAAGGGAAAAATTTTCGATTTTGTTAATTTTATACTCAGAAGACAGTCGCTGACAAACTCTGAAAAAATCAGCTTGCCCGTAATTTTTTTTTTTTTTCACTCTCTATACGGCGATACAATTTTACTGGACTATTTATTATTTATTTATTTTTGTCATATTATTTTCTGAGTTGTGTTTACTGGTTATTGAACAATCTGCGTCTCTCGAAAAAGGATGTAAGAGGGATACACTTGGGGCAGTAATAATGTCGTGTGGTCCTTTCAGGCAACCAAGGCAATAATTAAGGAGATCAGATGAGATCCCTAATATACAGGGAGTTTCAAAACAAATGCAAAAAACTTCAGGAGGTGGTTCCCTGTTCAAAATAAAGGGTAGTTTGCTTCATAACGTTGAGTCAAAAGTTAACAATTAGGGAGATATCGCGGTACAAAGATGGCGGAAAAATAATGTTTTTATTTTTTATCTCAAAAACAAAAAGAGATAGACTAATGAAATTTTATGGAAAAATTGCTGTTATGAAAACACACTTTCTGGTAATTTTTTCACTTTTTTAAAACGAGTGGAAGGGGTTGAAATAAACTACCTCTATCATTCTTGTTAACGATATTTAAAGAAAAATTTTATCAAACACATGCAAAAAAATTAATTTGGATAGTTTAGTTTGTTTAGTAACTTTTTTATCTCTTGCGTTTTTTTGATAAAACTCACCGATTTGAAATTAAAAAATAAAAAGTAAAGCATTACATGTCAGAACAAAAAACATTTTTAGATAAAGAATCTAGTGGGCTAGGCAAAATAACAAGAATGGTAGGAGTAGTTTATTTCAACCCCTTCCACTCATTTTAAATGAGAAAATTACCAGAAAGTGTGTTTTCATAACAGTAATGCTTTCATGAAATTTCAATAGTCTATCGCTTTTCGTTTTAAAGATAAAAATAAAAATATTATATTTCCGCCTTCTTTATACCGCGATATCTCCCTAATGGTTGACTTTTGACCCAAAGTTTATAAAGCAAACTACCCTTTATTTTGAACAAGGAATCGCTCCCTGAAGTTTTTCGCATTTGTTTTGAAACACCCTGTATTGATAAATAGTAGTAATTTAAATGTGTATTTAAATTAAGCTTAGGTATTGAATGACCTAAATGATGATATTATTGATTATTAAAAAAATGGCATTTTTCCAAATGGGTTGGGAAGAAAACTACAAAAAGGAATACAGGTATATTTAAGTATGTTTCAGTTTGACAAGTATTTTCTCTAAATGTGTAATGTTTTGTCACAATAATTATTCAGATTTTTTATGTAAAGTAACAATTTAAACAAATCTTTCAATAGAACCACCAAAGAAGCAATGAGTGTCAAATAATTATATTATATTTAAGTAAAAAACTACCGGGTTGACACATACTATATCTACATTTCAATGGGTGGTTTTCAATTCATCTTATTGTGATCCGAAATAATATATAAAATAAATTATGCATAAATGGAATTAACTATTTCAAGAATATTTTACTATTTTTCATTATTTTTGATTATTAATTTTAAATATTATAGTTCTTTACAAATCTAAATTACAATTAGGTAACTAAAAACCCATGAAAAACAGTGAACTTTAACCTACTCTTCACTGTACGTTCAACCCCGTAGCAATTAACATAAAAAAGAACAGTAAAAATATTTTAAGTCGTTCTTTTAAAGACGTTATTGATAAAACTTTGTACATGTGGGTCTGTCACAATAATATAAATACTAACTACTAAGGTCCCTTGACTTCAGTCTTCAAATATCCGGTAAACTATTATCTGGAAAATAAAAAAAAATCGTTATTAAAAATGCTAATAGCTAATAAAAAATATACTTTTATATATAATTCTGGATTATGTATTATGATTACTTAAAATAATTATGTATTATGACGACATAGTGTCGATATTCGATATAGTTCAAATAGCGTCGACGAAGGTCGACTCATTTTTTACGAATAAAAAAAATGATTCGTAAAAAAATGCTTTTTAGTGGCTATTCCAAAGAGCCACCTTCGTTCCATTTGAAAAAATTGAGATATGATTAAAAATACGATTTGGGCGTCTTTTAAGCAGTCAGCACAAGACACTAAAAACATTAGACAATCACATATATTTTTCGAAGGCTCCTTGATTAAAAATCAGTGTTTTTAACACAGCCATGGCACTCTAGATTGAAATTTAAATACACAATACAATTTTGTTTTAAGCGAAAATTGACATAATATATTATTATATGTCATTCTATTCAGAGTGTCATTCTCTATCAAATAAAGTAAAAAATATTGAAGGTGCCATTTAAAAATCAAAAGTTGTAGTCATTTCCGGTGAAACAGGAAGTGGCCGAAAAGGTTGAATACGTCTATCAATCCTAATTTACATATGTAGTATATTAACCAGTGGCGGCTTAACCATGAGGGCAAATGGTCAATGCCCCCCAAAAAAATCAGGAGAAAATTAGAAAAACTTATTTAAATTACACATTTTGTAAATCACTTTTTTTCATCCTAAAATATTCAAAACTATTCCCAATTTATCCAATTTTCGCTTGAAAACACTTTATTTTACCCATTTTTCTACTGCCGGTCAAAATTTCATTTTGTTCTTTGTTCCCGCTATGTTTTACACGTATTAAACTCCAAGTGCCGCGGCTCGTGACGCCAACAAGGTTAGGCATACTACGTATAGAAAATATAATGGGTTAAGGTGCGATAGATATAGTTTATATTGGCCATTGACCGCGTCATTCATAAAAGGATATGTAAGGTAGGCAACTTTATATACACTTGTATTTGGCAGTTTACTGACAGACGATATAAAAAGTGGCGGTTTTTGTCTTTGTCTAGAAACCCCAACGTGTTATTATTGTAATTTGTAATATTGTTTATTAGTTGAGAATCAATATAGTTGATTAAGAAATATCGAGTGCATTATTTCTATACAGGGTGAGTTTCCTACGATGTTCTCTATGGGTATCTCGGAAACTACTGGAGATAGAGAGTCGGTTAAATGGGCAAAGAATTGCAGTTTTGTGGGGTCATAAATATGCGCCTTTCAGGTTTTCGAAAAAGTTCATAGCTTACTAGATATTTCGAAAAAAACAAATTTCAGCTATTTTAAACATTGTCCCTAATTCCATTATAAGGTATTTTAGACAAAAAGTTCAAGTTTCAGATAAAAGTTGTAGATAATCACATCCTTAATGAGACTGTGTCCTCCGCTTTTTTCTAAAGCCTGTCATTTTTGACATATGATACAAACATATGTTTTTTAAATGGAAACCATAGTTGGCCATCACTTCATAAAAAGCGCCATTTTTTAAGCTTTTTGGCGATATAAGCTATAATATGTTTTCTTCGAAAACTTACTGATTTGAGTAATGCCAATTCTTAACATTTTTAAACAAATTCCCTTAGTTAGCCATGGGAACAAGTTCAATCGTCGTTGCTCTCAGAAATGTGAAACTGTCACATCCAAACTTTGTAAATTAAAATAATCAAAAATTGTAAATATGAATTTTTTTTCAAATGAAGAAAAGCGTGTAGGATTATTGGTTCAACTTTTCTTGACCATACATTTTCAAGGATACGTTGACAAGTGAATGTTACGTTTTTTAGAAAACGGTTTTGAAGACAAATTAGAAAAGTTACATTTAGCTATAGCGAATTCTTATCTTTCTTGACTAATTTCACTTAGATTGCATGGTATTCTTATTCTGTTATGATTTATAACTTATAAAAAGTCAGAATATATTACTAAAATGGTTCTTTACTGTTAACATTACACAAACTAAAACTTAAAAAAATATATCACTACATACACTTTAAGTTATTTTAGAAAATGTTTAAAGAATCCGCCATTGTTTTGAGTTACATCCTTTTAAAACTGAATTACTACCTATTCTTACAGAAGGACCGGTCCACTTAATTAAACTTCTCTCGTACCGCCACTTCGAGTGCCTCTCTTAATTCATAAGTTCTTTTGTGAACCTTATTGTGAACCATACCACATAAAAAAAATCTAGAATGGATAGGTCAGGTGATCGAGGGGACTCATGCAATTAGTCCACCTCTTCTTATCCCTGAGTTTGCATAATTATGATATAAATAATTTTTAACATTTCTTTCATTATGGGGGGTGGGGAGCAGGGGGTTATAATGAAACTCCTGTTGGAACCACTCTATTGAGGCGCGAGTATCTACACGCTTTTCTTCATTTCAAAAATTCATATTTACAATTTTTGTTTATTTTAATTTACAAAGTTTGGATGTGACAGCTTCACATTTCTGAGAGCAACGGCGATTGAACTTCTTTCCATGGCTAACTAAGTGAAATTGTTTAAAAATGTTAGGAATTGGCTATAACTCAGTAAGTTTTCGAAGAAAACATATTATAGCTTATATCGCTAAAAAGTTTAAAAAATGGCGCTTTTTATGAAGTCATGCCAACTATGGTTTCCATTTAAAAAAACATATGTTTGTATCATATGTTAAAAATGACAGGCTTTAGAAAAAAGCGGAGGACACAGTCTCATTAAGGATGTGATTATCTACAACTTTTATCTGAAAACTTTTTGTCTAAAATAGCTTATAATGGAATTAGGGACAATTTTTAAAATAGCCGAAATTTGTTTTTTTTTCGAAATATCTAATAAGCCATGAACTTTTTCATAAACCTGAAAGGCGCATATTTGTGACCCCACAAAACTGCAATTCTTTGCCCATTTAACCGACTCTCTATCTTCAGTAGTTTCCGAGATACCCATAGAGAACATCGTAGGAAACTCACCCTGTATAAATATATTACAGGATTTCTGTCATATCGCTAGAAAAATTTCGCCTTTTGGGCAGTTTGGGTGTTTATAAAACTCAAATTATAAACCAACCTAGGTTTTTGTATCATTTATCGCGTATCGCGTATAATGTTTGGTTTAGTGAATATAAATCAATATTTAAATTTTTAATATCGAAAAAAAAATTTGTTTTAGTTTTAGCTGCCGTAGCTTTATCGTAGCCGAGGGTTTGAGATGGGTAAAATTTATGTAGAAAAAAATTCATAATTTTCTGGTTCTGGATAAATGATGAACTCTTGTTAACTGATTCTGGAATAGATATTTTCAAATAGAAAACATATTATGGTGTTAAGTTTGTAAAATAGTGCGGTTAAAAGAAAACAACTGCTTAAATTTCGAAAAACGTTTAGAGAAAGAATTGACTCAAAATATAAATAAAAATGTGAAATAAAACTTTTAGAAATGTGTATGTGTATATATGTGTTTATATTTTTGTGACATTATTATTTAAGTGTCTTTTAAATCCGTAGAAAATTTGTGTAAAGAACATTGACTGGATTTTTAGTGAAATGGCACTAGACCACCTGTTTAAAAATGTAAGGGTGGGTTTCATTTTAACATAATTTGTATTTATTTTTCTTTAACTAAACGACCAGTACCTCGTAAGAAACCAATTAAATTTGGTCGCGTCTTAAAAAAAATTGACGCAATATTTTTAGATATTGACCTCCCTACAATAATAAACACGAGCCGCCACTGACATTAACATACCAAATCTCGTTATTTTATCCGAAAAAATTAAAAAGTTATAGGGGTGAGCGACTTTTGAGGCGCATCCGGTATAATATGTTTGATAGTTTACATGTTTACTGTATGACATTTTTAAACTAAATCAGCTAATGCCAAAAGAGGATCTAGAGTAAAACAGTTTAAACAGCCGTCCTTAAACTGGCATATAAAGGGAAAAAATAGAAACGTTCCCCAAAGTCCTTTTTATTTATTCCGGCCATATTTCAGGCGGGATCAAACCGGCGCACTTTATTAAAACCACTGCCGACGCCGCCGCCGCATCGCAGCTTTAATAAAAGAACGCGAAACTCGCGGCATTTTTCATTTTGTCCGGGAAGATTATTTTCCATACGCATGGGTGCACGCCATCCAGCCAGTATTCCCTCCCACTCCGCCTGCCTAACTACCACCCCCATCCAGGCCGCAGTCTTCCACGTTTCTTATCTATGCCACCGTTTCAATTTTCCAAATTCTCGGAAAACATTCTCAGCGGAAGAAAAATTTACCGTCGAAAAGTCATAGTCGTCCCAAAATCTTTTTACAGATTTTTAGTTCGATCATTCAATTAATAAGTGTACTTTTCATACATGGATAAAAATATCATCTCATATCCAGAGCCACAGAGGGTACAATCTCTAGTGGGGCGATTCCTCACGTAAAAATAAGATTTATTTTTTAAATCAAGACTTATCCGCAGAAGCGGACTTATATTTTTCGGACATTTGTTTCGTAGCTACAAAGACTTAAAGTCTTTTTTTCGATTTTTTTATAAATTATAACAACATATAATAAGAATAAATAAAACCGCATAAAAGAATAAATAAAACAAACTATTTTATTAATAATAACACCGAATTTTATACCTTAAAGGTTGATTAATTAACTTTAATCTATTTTTTTTAAACCAGTACTTTTTGACATTATTTTTCTGCAGTACTAAAATCCATTGTTGACTTATCATATGATGTAGACTTAAAAGTGCTATAAACCTGTGCTTTGTGTCTACAGTTAATGTTCTCTCGATTTTACTTCCGCACTTGACTTCAAAAGACACAAAACACACGTAATAACACGAATCAAAATGCATCATCTTTCAAAACGCAGGCTATTTGACATAAGTTGATACAAAATTATAACCTATAATTTGGCAAGACTTTGACAAGCCTCAAAAATCTAAAGGCGAGTTCATACGTATCGG